ATCAATCAGAAAAAAGATCAAAACAAAATGAAGAAAGCCTAAGGTTCATGTGGGATACCATCAAAAGGAATAACCTATGTGTCACTGGAATTCCAGAACAGGAAGAGAAAAATGAAACCACTGAGAAAATTATCCAAGATTTGTTGGAGGAGAACTTCCCTGATATGATGAAAGATGAGAATATATCCATTCATGAAATCCAACGAACTCCAAACAGGATAGATCCCAAGAGAAAAACACCAAGACATATCATCATCAAACTCGCCAAAACCAAAGACAAAGAAAGAATCCTGAGAGCAGCACAGGAAAAATGAAAAGTTACCTACAAGGGGCAACCAGTAAGACTAAGCTTGGATTTCTTGACAGAAACCATGCAGGTGAGAAGACAGTGGGATGATATATATAAAACACTGAAAGAGAAAAATTTCCAACCGAGAATTATGTACCCAGTAAACTTTTCCCTCAAATATGATGGTGAAATTAGAACATTTCCAGATAAGCAGAAATGAAAGGAATTTGTTAAAACCAGACCAACCTTACAAGAGATGCTAAAGGGAGCCCTTTGGACAGAGAAGCAACAACAACAACTGATCATTAATACACATGATAATATAACCCATCTATGGAAACCAACCCAGCTATGGAAGTATCCAATTTATAAGCCTACAAGATTGTAAACAGGGAACCAGAGATACCAACTGACAAATGAGGACAACTACAAATCAAAAAGAGGGAAAAAAATCTGTGTCGTTACAGAACTTCTAGATGGTAGGGAAGTCAAGACAATTACAAGATAGAATGGACTGTTCTAAACTTGGGAAGAAAACTATAAATCACATGGTAACCTCAAAGAAAAATGATAAAACTTCACATCAAAATAAAAAAGTGGACCAACATAAATATTCAGCAAATATTAAATAGCAATGAAAGAAGTGATAACATGATTCATAAACAAAACGGGCTCAGCATAGGAAATTATATGGAACAAAAAAATTGACACAATGAAAAAGCACATGACAAAAATGACAGCAACAAATTCATATTTGCTGATAATTACATATCTGGCAAGGGACTTATCTCTAAGATTGATGGAAAACTCCAACGCCTCAACACCAAAGGAATTAACAATCCAAATGAAAAATGGGCAGAAGACATGAATAGGAGCTAATACATGAAAAAATGCTCACAATCACTGGCCATCAGAGAGATGTAAATCAAAACAACAATGAGATATACCGTCTCGCCCCAGCACTGATGGCAAGGTTCAATGAGACAGAAAATAACAAATGCTGGTGGGGATGTGGAGAGATTGGGACTCTCATACACTGCTTGTGTGACCATGAAGTGACACAACCACTGTGGAAAGCAATATGGCGATTCCTCAGAAAGCTGGAATTGGAGATACCATTTGACCCAGCAATCCCATTACGAGGTATATATCCTAGAGAGGTGAGAGCCAAGATAGGAACAGATACATGCACACTCATGTTCATCACAGCACTATTTACAATAGCAAAAAGATGGAAACAACCTACGTGCCCATCAGCAGAAGAGTGGATGACCAAACTATGGTACATACACAAAATGGAATGCTATGCAGCACTAAAGAATAATGTAGAGTCTGCAAAACACCACATAATATGGATGAACTTGGAGGATATTATGCTGAGTGAAATAAGTCAATCACAGAAGGACAAAGATAGTTCATTGTTGTGGAGGGTCAAGGAAAGGTTTATATATGGAGGGAAACTTTGTTGTTTGTCAGGGGTGGGAGGGGAGGGGAGAGAACACTGAAAAAAAAAAAAAGCATTGAAAAAAAAAGAACAGCTTAGGTATCAAATCAGTTCAGAAACCTACACAACTGACTGACAGAAAGATCTTATGATACAGATTTGAAAAGCAGGCTACTGAGATAGTTATAAAATATGATTCTGTTTTTATTAGGGGGGAAAAAACAGATTATGTATATAAACAAGTCCATAGATCAAAATATCAACAATGTTATCTCTGAGAGGCTGGATTACCAATGATTTCAATTTTCTTTATGCTATAGTACAATTTTTATTATAGATAGATACTTATATAGAGGTAGAGGAGATAGTTAACAGTGGTTAGATTATGTGATTGGTTTGCCATTAAACAGTTTGTCATATATCAGCACCACAGTAAATTAGAAAATACAAACTAGCATAAAGAAATTAAAGTCATTGGTAATCTAGCCTCCTAGAGATAAACACTGTTGATATTTTGATCTATGGACTTGTTTATACACATAATTAGCAAGTGACAGAGCTGGGGCTCAAATCCAGACTGACTCCAAAACTCTATACTGCCTCCGAGTCAAGTTCTGGTTGCTAAGGATGGGGGAGGGATGGGCTAGCAAGCACAATCTGCCAGGAAGGCACAAGGGCAGCTGGTACTCATTTCTACCCTCCCCCAGGTCATATGACTGAAACTTTCCTTCCCAAGTGGGATTTGTCTGAAATCCATTCACACATCTCATTTCAAACAAGTGTTTATTTATTTTAATACCTGCCAACTGAAAGTATATCAAGATTAGAAAAAACAAAACAGGAGTACTCATTTAAGTGCCAATGTAAAAAATTAAATTTAAAAGATATAAGTACCTCAATAGCACCACCTAGTATTTAAATATGATATATAATAACAAATGCTGGCCCTACCTCTTCCTCTGCATACTTACTTTGCAAGGAAATAGATTTCAAAGTCAAATCTGCTATGAGAAAATGGAACTACAAATGCACTCATGATTTCTTATGAAGAGTGTGTGTTCAAAACGATCTTCATATGAATTTTATTTTTAATAACAAGTATGCACTACCACAAAAGTTTTAAAATTTGTAACTGGACAACTTCCAACAGTTTCGTGAAGGTGTTCTGAGGATCCATGTCATTCAAGATTATAATGAAGACTACTAAATTTCTATTTTTTAAAAAATTAAATAAAAAGATTGCTTAAAAAATAGTATATCTCACATACTGTTTTATGTTAATATTATCTTCACTGGATTGAACATCTAAACAAAATCCTTACATTGCACATTATAATGTCTCTAGAATACTCTGGTGGTACAAATGGTTAAGCGTTCACTCAGCTGCTAACTGAAGGGTTAATGGTTGGAACCCACTCATCAAAGACCTGGCTATCTGCTTTTGCAGATCATAGCCAAGAACAGCCTATGGGGCCATTCTACTCTGTGACATGAGATTGCTATGAGTCGAGATTGAGTTGAAAGCGCCTAACAACAACAGGGCACATGAAACTGAGAGAATAACAGAGTGATGGTATAATCCATCTGGCTTTTCATAGAAAGACTAACCACACTAAAAGCGAGTTATTTGCAGAGAATTAAGTACAAAAGGGCTCCTCTCCCTAATTGCAAAAATAAACTAGTCAACCTTTTTAAGAGTAAAATGCAAGAATTCAAAATATTAGGCCATGAAGTTTCTACTTCAGAAAACTTTTAACACTTGGTTAAACATTTTTTTCTTCTTACATTTCATTCTACATTACAATACATACACTGTCCCCAAACCAATGTTGTTCACTGGTCAATGAATCGTGTTTTCATTCATATGTAATTCATTTTAAGCAAATTAAATGGAGCACACCACTTGGTAAGTGGAGAAAAAGCAGGAATTTTGTATTATAACAATTTTAAATAATCGTTAAAGTTTAGTCTTTACTATAATTTTTTTCTTAAAAATCATTCTTTATTACATTCCACATAAAACTGATAAATCGATTAAAATGACCAGTGTAGTTTATAAGATTCTAGTTTATTAATAAATCAAGGAGATAGAAAACGCTCCTCTACTGCTTCCCTATTATGACCCCAAAATAGGAGTCCTTTATTAACACGGCCCTATTTAAAGGAAAAGAAGCTGTGGTGGGGTAGTGGTTGAGACATTTGGTTGCTAACCAGAAGGCTGACGGTTCAGCTCCTCCGTGGAAAAAACATGGGGCAGTTTACAAGATTTACAGCCTTTGAAACCCAATAGGTTCACTATGAGTTGGAACTGACCCTTCTTCGGTACCAAGTTTTTTAATTTATTGAAAGAAAAGGCCCAAGTAATGGAAAATATTACAGTCTGAAGCCTGAAACAAGTTAGCAGGTAAGTTTTGCTAAATTTACCTGTCAAGCAAACCAAATACTTTTAAAGTAACAACACAATGTTCAAACGGGTCAGTCATTTCTCTTCTTCTTCTAAACATAAACATTAGATGATAATCACTTCATTTTTCCCATTGGTGGGATTATCTTAGTGGTTATGCTGGTGTTAGCTCTATTCCACTTCCTTTCAGTTGTTGGCCAGCTTTTATCTTGATAATGCATTTAAGCTGACAGATGTTTCAATTGTAGTTGCTTCAACTGTAATAGTAGATGACAACTACTATTAAAGGAACTCACTAGAGAAATTATAAGGTCATTACCCTTTTCATTACATTGTATGTGACTAGCTTTAAGATTTTTCTGGTCCCCAAAGATTCCATTGCCTCACAATAACCTGGAGACTGAAGACAAAGGGTTATAATTCTGCGTGAGATCAGAAATGGAAAGCGATGACAAGAGCGATGTGAAGAAGAATGTTATTGGGGGAAAACAAAGGTGAGAAAATGGATTTTAGGAGTTTCAAACAAATTGTGCAGAATATCATGCCTTGACAAGACATTTTTGGAATTACAATTTCTATATGAATGCAGTGAAACCATTAAGAGCTGGTAAGAGATCAATCTCTAATTTCAGGTGTCCATCAGAACAACTTAACCCCTAGAAATGTTATCAACAAAATCCTAACAGCCTATTAGGACACAAAATAGATTAATATCTTCAAAGATCCTACTTCCAGACAAGGTCATATTCACAGGATTGGGTTGGGATCTCCTTTAATTCTGTCCATAACAATGCCAAATCTAAAGATCACTGTACGCTTTCTACTGTGATTTCCTGAAGCACTAAACACGACATTAGATTATCAATTTGTCCTTCAAACTTTCTCCTCTTGGTTTCTTATTCTCCTCCAACATAACTGCTTTTTCCTCACTTGTTTCCTTACTAGTCTCTTACTTTCTTGCCTATTAAATCTGATGCTTCTCAGTTTTGTTCACTTGGCTCTCTTCTCTTACATATAAGTCCCAATCACCCCTGAGGCCCACACTCATACTGGTTCACCTGGATTCCCAAGGCAATTCAAACTTAAAGGTTTATCACAATTCCTTAACTGCTCTTCTTATATTTCTAATCTTTGCTCACTTATTCAGTTGCCCAGCCCAGACCGCTAAACCATTCTTGACTCCTTTTCCATTTACTCATCACAACCAGAATTTCTTTCTAAAACCTAAACCACTATATACTTATTTAAAAGGATTTAATGCAGCTTATAGAAATATAGGGAGCTCTGGTAGCATAGTGGATAAGACACTTGCCTGCTAACCAGAGGGCTGGCGGTTCAAACCCACCAGCCACTCCTCGGAAGGAAGGTTGGGCAATCCTACTTCCGTAGTGATACTGCCTCGGAAACCCAAGGAGGGGTCGCTATGAGTCAGGTTTGACTCGACGGCACATAACAACAACAACAACAACAACATAGAAATATAAATAAAAAATTTAACTCTAAAATAAAAAATAACTAATAAAATACAAACAAGTAAATGAAGAAATCTGGGCAAAGAGAAAACAAGGATAAAAAATAGTAAGCACAATCCCAATGAATAACACAGGCATCCCTTTTGGGTTCCTGAATATAATTCAAATACTTCCAGAGTTTCTTGATTAAGTGGTAAGTTTCTGCCCTCTTCCTTGGATAACTGCAATACTTCCCAAACAGTTTTCTTGTTTCTTAACTTCTTCCCCGTTACTAGCCTACACACTCACACCATGAGCCCTACACACAAAAAGACAAAACAAAACTATTTCAATGACTCTCTATTAAAAACAGTGAAGTCCTTTAGTCTTGTGCTCATGATCCCTATATTAAGGCCCCTATCTTACCTTACCTCTCTACCCTAACTAGCCTCATCAGAATTTCACAGCTAACAGGAGGAATTACTTACTGTGATAAGGTCATCTCTCGCTCTGAGGACTTTCAGTCTTGCTTGATTCATCAAATTGGACATCTGTCTACAAAAGTATAGACAAATAGTATCAATACAGCATAAAAAACTAAAATAAATATATAGTTTCATATCCAGTACAGTGAAGATTTGATACATGACAAATACTTTTCTACTTTTTCAACTTCTTTTCAAAGTGCTTACAAACGACAAGCATTTTCTATCTGTTATTACAGTTGAAATTACAATATAATCCTGTGAGGCTTCCATTTTCACAGTTAAGCAACTTACCCAAAGTCAGAGAAACAGTGGTCAAGACCTCAATGCTATCTGTCCAACTCCCAAGCTCCTGCTTTGTCCTCTTACCCACACACCTCTGAAAGTCTTTAGCTTAATACTGTGACAAAGACTACTTACATTTTCTTTTGCTGTTCAATCTGCTTTTCTTTCTTCTCATAGTATTCCATAATCTTCAATCTTTGGGTTTGCACAAGACGACCCTTCTCAATGTTGAACTCTTCTTCTGCCTACCAAGGAATTAATTCCTATGAATTCATTTCATTTCACAGTTTTAAAAACTGTGGTAAATACGTACGTAACATACCATTTTCCATCTCAACATTCTTCACATGTACAATTCAATGACGTTGTGTTCATAATGCTGTGCAACCATCCTCATTACCCACCTCCAAATGTTTCCATCTCCCATAGCAGAAGCTCAGTGTTCCCTAAGCAGTAAGTCTCCCTTTTCCTTTCCCTCTCTCCTGCCCCTGGTAACCACTTACCAACCTCAGTCTGTATACATGGCCCTTCTAGATATTCCACAAAAGTGTAATCATACAATATGATGCCCTTTTATAGCCTATTTTACTCAGCATGATGTCTTCAAGATTCATCTGTTGATGGACATTAGACTGTTTCCATCTTTAGGCTACTGTGAATGATGCTGCAATGAACACTGGTGTATAAGATCTGTTTCTGTTCCTGCTTTCAGTTCTTTTGAGTATTTTTAAGGAGCTGGTAATCAGGGGCATTTGTACATGATCACCTTATTTCACATCTAAAATAGGGAATATACTGTGACTCTTGTCTTCAAAGATTACTTCTAATTTATTAAAAGTAAAGACCAGCAACTGCCATCATAAACAATGAGCCAGAAAACTAAAAATTTGATCAAGCATTATAGCAGCCAGCAACAAAGGTTACAAAGGATACAATCTGACAGAAGATTAATTACGCTCATGAAAAAAAGTATTGTTGTTGTTGTTGTTATGTGCCGTGGAGTCAGACCTGACTCATAGCGACCCCTCCTTGGGTTTCCGAGGCAGTATCACGACGGAAGTAGATTGCCCCATCTTCCTTCCGAGGAGTGGCTGGTGGGTTTGAACCGCCAGCCTTCTGGTGAGCAGTCAAGTGCCTTAGCCACTATGGGTACTCTAAATTTAATCCATTTGCTTACTCGTAAGGGAATAAAAAGAACACAGAATTTAGAGTTTAGAAGATCTGGGTTACTGCCTATGAAATTTGTTGAGTCAAGTAATCTAAGCCTTAGCGTCTTCCCTTGTAAACTGAAATAAAAATAGTGTTCTTTCTTCATACATTGAATAAACAAGATAACTGTGACAGACTTTTTAAAATTATAAATTATAAAAACTTATTAGTTTTATTAGTACAAATTATTGAACAGTTACTCTCCCACAACTTTCAAGCAGTAAGACATTGTAATTTTGAAAAAATTAGCTACAATTGTTGATTTGGGTGTTTAATGTCTGGCACAGGTACTTAAGCTTTCACATCTTAAATGACTAACAGCTTATATCTATAACGAACATTGGAAATGAGTACAGATGACAGTGTAATACAAGGTCAAGAATAAATAAGAATGCATTTATACTAGCTATGATGTTATGTGTCAAGTAGGCCATGATTCCCAATATTGTGTGGTTGTCCTCCATTTTGTAATCTGATATATTTATTCTCCATTTTGTGTCTGATGTAGTTATCCTCCATTTTAGGTGCTATAAATCCTAGCCTCTATATGTTAATGAGGTAGATTAACATGGTGTTTATCTTGAGTCACAGCCTCAAAAGAGAGGGTATGATTCAAGTCACACTATTACTCTGATGTAAGGAAGAGTTTCCCTGGAGCTGTGACCTGCATCTGACCTTGGTTCTTGGGACTTGAGTTAGCAGCCTGTCATCTCATCGCCTGACTCTGGGATCTGCCAGCTTCTGTTGCCCTGTAAGCCAATAGCATGTCATCTGTCCTGCCACCTGGGTTCATCAGTCCCTGCAACCACACAAGTCAGGAAAAGCCTCTAGCCTGATGTGTAACCCACAGATTTTGGGATGTGACAGCTTCCATAACTGCATGAGCCATTTCTTTGAGATCTATCAGTCGATCAATCTCTCTCTCTATGCATTTATGCGCTTTACCGATTTTGCTTTTCCAGAGAACCCAGCATAAGACACCAGCTGAAATAAATTTCTACCGGTCATCCAAAAAGAAATAAAGGAATTAATACTGCAACGAGTCTATGAGCATCAAAGCAATACTAAGTAACAGCCTGTCAACTGTTTTATGCTAGTGAAAGGCAAAACAAACTTTTCTTTCTTGAATGATAAATTAGTCAAATAGTTCAAAGTTTTAGTCCTGGAATACCATGCCCATACAACATTAAGGCTATTATGGTAAGTAACAAACATGATTAAAACAGAAAAAATTAAAAGGACCATGACAATAAAATAAACAACACATAACCATATTTTAATAGCAAGTTTTTTAAAATGCCTGTTATGACAACACCTAGGGAAAATTTGATACATTATTGAGGAATGTAAAATGGTGTAGATAATGTGCAACTGGAAATATCAAAAATTTTAAACTGAATGAACGTCACCTTCAAGACACGCTTTCATTTTATCCCTTACATACTTCCAAGCCATCTTCTTTTTGGAATGAGCACAGATTAATTAAAAAAAATAAAAAATAAAAAAATACTATACCTTTCCCTAACCAACTACCACAATTACTCACAGATGCTAAATTTCTGATGTTTGGATTCCATGAGAAAATTAACCAATCCATTACTTTTCAATCCCTATCATAAAATGGCAGGACACTAATTGTCAATCAGAAACAATTAGAAGGGAAAATTTATTTTTTTAACATTAAAAATACTTACATTCTTATAGTTCCATGTAGTTTGCTATTAAACAAGTTTACTTATAATATTGTTTAACAAAGCAAAACAACATGAAACTACGATAACTTCTCAACACTAGAAAACAGAATCTCACCTTTGCATCTATTTCTTCTGCCTTCTCATTGGCTTCTTGTTCAATGAAAGCCATCATGTGCTTAATCTATAAGGGAAAAGAAGATTATTTTATTTAATTCAACGAGGAAAAAATAAGACATTTGTTTTCTCATTCATTCAATAATCACACACTATTAAATATTATAGGCTAAGCACTGGGTACAAAGATAAATGCCCTCGGGGGATTCGTATCTGGAATTTGCACTACCCGATGAACAAGAGGCAACACATATGGTTGTTGTTAGCTGCTGTTAAGTCAGCCCCTGACTCATGGTGATCCCTATGCACAACAGGACCCGATCACTGTGATCCATAGGGTTTTCAATGACTGATTTTTGGAAGTAGATTGCTAGGCCTTTCTTACTAGTCTATCTTAGTCTAAAAACTCTCCTAAAACCTGTTCAATATCATAGCTACACGCAAGCCTCCACTGACAGATGAATGCTGGCTGCACATGAGGTGCGCTGGTCTCCAGCATGGAAGGTGAGAATTCTACCTCTGAACCACTGATGCCCACTGCAATATACAACTAACACAGACTAATAGGACATCATCCTACTCTCAAGAACTTGGAGTCTATGGGAGAGGCAGAACTGCACACATACCCTCCTCCACATTATATCCCACTTCAGCCAGCACCCTCTTTTTCTTTTCTCTATTGCTAATAAAATGTATCCAAGAGCTATCTATATTTACTCTTTCAACTTTACCTCCTGTTCTCAGCACATTTCAGTCGGACTTCTGCCCCCTTCACTCCATTAAAAGTACTCTCATAAAGTCACAATGATCTCTTGGCTCTTAAATCTTAGCCTACTTGATTTGTTGACCAACTGTTCCTTGTTGAACAATCTGACTCCTTTGCTTCTATGACTTCCCCCTCTGTTCTTTGGTAGCTCCTTCTCTCAGTCTCCTTTGGGGTCATACTCTTCCTTCCTCTGCTTCCTACCTAGGCAGCTCTTGGATATCCTACTACTCCTCCCACCTCAAAAAAAAAAAAAAAAAAAAAACCCTAAATCCACTGCCATTGAGTCAATTCTGACTCATAGTTACCCTATAGGACAAAGTAGAACTGTCCCATGGGATTTCTAAGGCTGTAAATCTTTTAGGAAGTAGAATGCCTTATCTTTCTCCTGTGGAGCAGCTGGTGGATTTGCTAAAAGAACTATCAAATCTGTCCTGGAAGAAGTGCAGCCAGAATGCTCCTTGGAAGCAAGAATGGCCAGACTTCATCTCACACACTTTGGTCATGTTGTCAGAAGGGACCATTCCCTGGAGAAAAATGTCAGGCTTAGTAAAGTGGAGGGTCAATGAAAAAGGGGAAGGTTCTCAACAAGATGGATTGACAGAGTGGTTGCAATGATGGGCTCAGGATTAGCAAGGATTGTGGGGCTGGCACAGGACTGGGCAGTGTTTTGCTCTGTTGTACACAGGGTCGCTATACGTCAGAGACGACTCGATGGCACCTAACAACAACGACACAATTTGTTCACGTTTCTCTACCTTCACAGGTACTACCACAGTCCTTGTCATCATCATCATCTCTGAGCTGAATGATTCCAATGGCATCCAGTTTGTCTTCCTGCCTCCAGTCTTCTCTCTTTAAACTACTCCACTCTGTAACCTGAGTCCTTTTAAAAATGTCTCTTGTCAAATATCACACCCTCCAAGACTTCTGATCACCCTTAAGATAAAGTGCAAAGATTTTAAAAGGTAATGTGATTACTGCCCACTTTTCCAGCATGTAATAATCCTTTGTTGTTGTTGTTGTTATGTACCATCCAGTGGGACCTGATTCATAGTGACCCCTCCTTGGGTTTCTGAGGCAGTATCACTAGGAGGCAGTATTACTAGGGAAGTAGACTGCCCCATCTTCCTTCCCAGGAGTGGCTGGTGGGTTTGAACCGCCAGCCTTCTGGTTAGCAGTCAAGTGCCTTAGGCACTATGCTACCAGAGCTCCCAATAATCCTTTACCACTCTCTAAATTCTTATTTACTGCCACATTAAACTTATTTCAGTTCCTTAAGTTCATCATTCTCTTTCTCTCCTCTAAGACTTGAAATGGGCTGTTCCTTCTACTTGGAATAACTTTTCATCCCCTTCTTCACCCTAGGTAAACTTCTCGACCCCAGCTTACTTAACTGTCACCACCTTTGGGAAATCTTTCCTGAAAGCCTCACCCATGTGTCCTATATTTCCTCTAACATGGCATCTAAACACCCGTTAGTAATTACTTGCTTACTTGTCCCTATTCCCAACTAAACTATGAGGTTAAACCAAGAAAACCACCAAGCTAGTTGCCATCAAATTGATTCTGACTTATGGCAACCCCTTGGGTGTCAGAGTAGAACTGTTCTCCGTAGAATTTTCCTGGCTGTGACCTTTTGGAAGCAGATCACCAGGTCTTTCTTCCAGGGTGCCTCTGGATGAGTTCAAACTACCTTCCTTTTGGTTAGCAGCCCAACACCACCAATTATAAGGCTGTTGTTGTTATGTGCCGTCAAGTCAGACCCGACTCATAGCGACCCCACCCTAGGTTTCTGAGGCAGTACCACTATGGAAGTAGATCTCCCAACCTTCCTTCCAAGGAGTGGCTGGTGGGTTTGAACTGCCAGCCTGCTGGTTAGCAGTCACATGCCCTAGGCACTAGGCTACCAGAAGAAACTTGTTAAAGGGGTTTAAATCCTTGGCTACAGGTGGAGAATCAAGTCCACTGAAGGCTTCTGAATGGGTCTTGGGGTGATCCATCCAACTTAGACTCATAAATGAAATACTGTCTCTGTTAGCAGACATAAAATATATCAGGCAACACAGCTAATCAAACTCTGATTGGCAAACCCACTGGCAGTGGGTCAGTAGTTTCATTTCACAGAGGCTCTATATAAAAGTAATGAATAATAAAAAAAATTGATGGTTCCGGCAAGATGGCGGACTAGGCAGAAGGATTGCACAGACCCTCTTCAACAAAGAAAAGGGAAACCAATTAACACAGACACAGAAGATA